AGGATGTAATGCAGTGCCAGCTTTGTCTTAATTCTTTTATTCATAAAACTGCAATAGCATAAAAAAGGTTTTATTAGGGTTTTGTGTAATTGAACCGTGTAACTGTGCTGGAATTTATAGTGGAGACACTGGGCTAATAGTTACTACTGAAACAAGGGGCTCTTTTCCAGCGCCTCGGTGGCAGAGCTGTATTGGAGGACGTTGTCATAGAAACGAGTGAGCTCCAGCCGTATGTCCTTGGCACCCCTCCCTCCTGAGCCCCGGTACTTCATGGAAATGAGCTTTGAGCACAGGTAGTGGAGCCACAGCACGTTTGTATGGGGGTGGTAGTTACTCCAGTTGTTTCTGAGGCAGACAAAAAGAGCAGCGTAGCATTTATAAATCAGTAACACGATAACTGAGAGTTCAGTTTCTGCTTTAGTTCTTAGATAGTGAGAGCTGGAGAGAGGCAGGAAAGAGGCAGGAAAGACAGGGGAAGAGAGAGGGGGATGGTACCCTTAAAAAAGGATCCATGATATCTGTTCCCTCCTGTTTCCAGTTATTATGCTAAGCTAAGCTAACAGCTGCTGTTATAATCTTCTCATTTAACTCTCAGCAAGAATTAATTAAGTGTATTTCTCAAACTATTCCTTTAATTCAAATCACAATTAACAGTCAAAGTAAATATCAGTGTAGATCAGTCCAGATGACCCATATAAAACACATATCCCATCGTATAAACTACAGATGTATGGTGAGATCCATCTTATTAAGGGTGTATAATAAAAACAACCTTGGTGTTTGGAATCTCTAACTAATCAGCCGACTTTCATTTCTAGAGAACATATTGATTAATCAAAGCCAAAGTGAAATAAGAAGTCCAGTGTTGGTTCTTTTATCCCACACATTCAACCTATTATTATATACAGGATTTAGTTCTTTTTGTAGTTGCATTGTGAAACTGTTTCATGTGACACATTCAAAGCTTAGCACTGGTTGTTTTTGAACTGTCACATAAATGCACTGACCCATTCTCCTGTCTCATCAGTCTGTAGATATCAAACTGATAATCCCCCTGGCCCATGAAAAGCTCCTCATCCTCCGAGATATCACAGGACACCGTCAGATCATCTGGAGGGAGCAAAACATATCTCATGTGTCATTGCTGTTTATTATTTTACCGGTGCTAAATAGTTTGTGCACAAAATGTGTACAAAAAAAGTGGGAGGTAAACAAACATGTCTGACCAATTTCTAGTCTGGAGAGAGAGTAGTCAATGATGCGGACCAGCACTCCTTTGGTTTCCAGAGAGTTGGTTGCTCCGTTCAGGAGGAAGCTCCCCTTCTTTTCCTTGGTAGTTTTGACCAGCACATTGCCCCAGTGGAGGTCCCTGCAGTAAACAGCACAGGGGGATACAGTTGCTGTTACAAGACATCAACAAATCATCCATCAAACCTGACACCACATACACACCAACAGCGTTGCTGAGTCGGCTCATGCCACCAGTTTGATACTGAAGGCCACATTTCACACTTGATGTGGCAGGTGCAGTTCAAGTTGATGAGGCGTCAAATTTAATGTGTACAACCGAAGGAGCGTTTCAAAGTGTGTGTTGTGGCAGACTTTCGTGTTGTGATTTTATTCAAATATCAGTGTTATGGAAGCTGTTTGTTTATTTACTCAATAATAATACAAAAGTGTGGTGGCAGGATTTCATGTCACAGTTTATGCATTCTTTGGTTCCTGCTTCTCAAATGTTAATATTTGCTCGCTCTTTAATGGTAGTATACTACATTTATTTTTGTTGTTTGAGTCTTTATATTAACAGTGGCTGATGCAGGCAAGACAGTTACAGTTGCTATAATTTGGGAGAGTGTGTGCGTACTCCACCTGTGTTCAAAGTGTAGCTCCTGCTCAGCAACAGCCAAGGCAGCAGTAACCTGATGAAGGATGCTCTTTGCCACCCCCAAAGACGCCAGCTTGACAACAAAATAAAGGCTTGAATTATAGACTGCAAAACAGTCCATTTATAGGTTAATGATCAGACAAAATACAGATTATTCAAACTCATACAGTGCATTTACAGAAGCTAGGTATTTTTTTTTTAGATGCATACACATATAAGGTCCAACATTAAGTTGTAATGAGTCAATTCAAGGAACTATGTATGAATGCAGTTTCTTCATTAAAGTTTGAGCACATTTTTAGAGCTAGTGTGCAACTGTAAAGCTTCTGCTTCTGTTACAGTAGTGAAACTGGCAAGAATTTAGAGAGAGGTTTTTAACAGTCACTGAAAATAGCGATGCATCATGCTAAACGTTTACAGCTGCTGTCACTGTGATGAGGTGTGCTTACCGTTCCATTGCTGTTCTCTAAGTCGATGCCTCCAAACTCAAACTCCAGGATTATGAATAACTGATCTTTTTCAAAGAAATCTAAGTAAAGATAGAAAGAAAGATACCTAATGAAAGAGACAAACACATGGTCCTATATAGACTGATATTTGTATATTAAAACAAATAAAAGTTCAGCCATTGCAATCTGAAAGATAAGCTGCGCTGCAATTCTCTCCATTATGGAATGAATATTTAATGTGAAAGTTAAACAAATGTGAACACATCTTTTCTCTCACTGACCTGGTCTGTCATTCTCAGAGCCTTTCTGCTGGTCGAAGGTGTCCCAAGCATTCAGGAAATCTGGAGGGTAGCAGCCTTGGACGCAGTAGAGACTGGGAGGGAACAAATCAAGTCACATTAACACTGAAACCAACTAATAGACGCTACAAGACAAAAAGACAGAGACCAGAGAAAGTACTTACTCGATGAGTCCAATAAATCCATGAGTCTGGTTCTGCTGCTTCTCTTTCAGGCTGCTCAGCTCCCTGACAGAGAAACACACAATGCAGTCCAGTTAGCTGAACTGGTTTCCAAGTCTCATCATTGAAAGGTTATATACACAAAGTGCACTGCCACTAGATGGTGCACTAGAGCACCAGCATCTAAGACCAAAACAAATGGGTGCTACAGGCCGACCAGACTCCATTAACAAAACCATGCAGTCATTTCACCATGCAGAAAATGAAACTTACCAAAACCCTCTTTGTTTGTTTTTCTGCTTTTCTAACAATCACCAACGCTGGTTTGGTTGAAATGAACCCTGAACTCACCGAATACGATGTGAAAATATTTGTGAAATGTGGCAGCAACATAATCATTGGTGACAAATGCACCGTCCACTAACTACTTGTTTTTCCCACTCACTCACATTGTTATTCTAAGTGTCTGACAACATTATGGAAAGGACCCCCACAGAGATAAAACTTTCTGTTAAAGAGCAAAATCCTTTTTGTTTTACCAGAAACAGCAGTTATATCACCACAGGACTCCATTGACAAAAAATGACCTCATCAAAACTTCTTTCAGACCAAACAGAAACAATATAAAACTCACCAAAACCGTCTTTGTTAGTGTTTCCACTGTTCCAACAATCACC